GCCCCCTAACCCCTAACCTGCCGCCGCTGCCAGCTTCTTCTTGCTGCTGCCTGGGCTGGGGTATTTACGGTAAGGTAGCCACGGCAACGGCGGCGGGTCCGTGTCAGGTGATCTGAGGCGAGTTGCCGCTGGCGCTGCCGCCCAAACGACACCGCTTGCCCGGAGGAGGAGGAGGCAGAGAGGCGAGGAAAATGCAACATGGCCCAGCAGCTGCTGCAGCAGCGGCGGCGGGGCTGTGAGGAGGGGCTGCCTGGCGCGCCCTCTGCGGCCCTGACGCGCGGGGACTGCGGCGAGCGCTGAGAGCCGCTGCCAGCTCGTCGGTTCCGCGAGACATGGGGCTCTGCTACAGCCTGCGCCCGAGGCTCTTCGGCGACTCCGGAGGTGGCGAGCGCGCCCCCCCCAGATGTTGCGCCCGGTGCGGCCGGCCCCCCCTCCACCCCCCACGCTACGCCACTGGGTAGGGTTTCAAGTTGGATGGGGCACTGTGTCTTGAAATTCCTGCATTGCAGGGGGTTGGACTAGATGACCCTCGGGGTCCCTTTAAGCTCTATGATTCTAAAGTTGGTTATTTTTAAATTCTTCTAATACGAAGCAGAAAAGTTGCTTCCCATGCTGTGTCAGCCAACAGTCTTTGCTTTATCGCTCGTGCAAGTTGCTTGACCTTAAAAAAAAGTGACACTCATTCTCTTATATGAATATACTTTAAGCCAGTGTGGTGTAGTGGTTAAGAGCGGTAGTCTCGTAATCTGGTGAACCGGGTTCGCGTCTCCGCTCCTCCACATGCAGCTGCTGGGTGACCTTGGGCTAGTCACACTTCTCTGAAGTCTCTCAGCCTCACTCACCTCACAGAGTGTTTGTTGTGGAGGAGGAAGGGAAAGGAGATTGTTAGCCGCTTTGAGACTCCTTCGGGTGGTGATAAAGCGGGATATCAAATCCAAACTCGTCTGCTTCTTCTGTTAGCTGCAGAGCAGAATATTACAGAGTCTTTCCCCTCACTTACACTGAAGTGAGTCAGTGGACAGAATCAAAGGGCCCCTCTGTCACTGTCCCTTCAAAATATGGTCCACATGAAAAGTGAATTGCCTGTGTTATCTGCCACAAGCATTAATGTTACGTTAAGATTTGGGGGGGGGGTCAAAAAGGCACTGGAATGGACATCTTGTTTCCAACTGTGCAGCTCTTGTTCAAAATCATAGGGTTTTCTTTTTGTAATATTTTGAACCGAACTCCAGAGTGGCTGTACGGATACAGCCCATTATGCCTTAGATGTGAGTTGCTTTATAATGTTCCTGAAGGAAGCACATTTGTCTAGCCTTTGCAGACAGAAGAAGCCACATTGTTTTGTACTGAACAGACAGATTTTTTACATTAGATACTGTGTCTGTCTTGTTCTGGCTATTATGGACAGCTTAGCCAGAGTCTTTTGTTTATAGAGTAGGAGGGGACTTTTCCATACAAAGACTCCAGTCTGACCAGAGGCGTCCTGTACACCTTTCCCATCCTGTACAGAACTGCAAATATGTTACAGTGGTGCCTTGCAAGACGAAATTAATTCATTCCGCGAGTTTTGCCGTCTTGCGATTTTTTTCGTCTCGCGAAGCAGTGTCGGGAAAGTTTTGGAAAAGCTTCAAAAAGCACCAAAGTCTTTAAAAACCTCAAAAAAGGCTACCACACCGTGTTCTATGAGTTGCTCCTCGAAGTCAAGTCGCAACTGTATTAACGGTGTTAAGAAAAAGGAAACAAACTTGCAAGACGTTTCCGTCTTGCGAAGCAAGCCCATACGGAAAATCGTCTTGCGAAGCACCTCAAAAAACAAAAAACCCTTTCGTCTAGCGAGTTTTTTGTCTTGCGAGGCATTCGTCTTGCGAGGTACCACTGTATGCAAGTTTGGGGTGGGGCAGAGACTGCATCTGCCAAGGTCATCTTCTGCATAGCTGTTAGATAATCAGAGTGAACCTAAGCAGGTGTTGGTCTGTTGAGTTTCTGGATGCAGACCTTCCAGGTGTCCCTGTTTTCCAGGGACAGTCCCAGATTTACAGAAGACATCCCGGTTTCTGATTTGGTCCTGGAATGTCCTGCTTTTCCTTAGGACGTCCCTATTTTCCTCAGAGAAATGTTGGTGGGTATGGTAAGATGTCCCTACTTCTATCGGAGAAACGCTGGAGGGTATGGAGTTACATAACCCCCAATCCATTTAAAAACGTCCCTATACAGTGGTACTTTGGTTCTCAAACTGAATCCGTTCCAGAAGTCCGTTCCAAAACCAAAGCATTCCAAAACCAACGCCCGCTTTCCCATAGAAAGCAATGCAAAACAGATCAATCTGTTCTAGACTTTTAAAAGCAACCCCTAAAACAGCAATTTAACATGAATTTTACTATCCAACGAGACCATCGATCCATAAAATGAAGGCAATAAACAATGTACTGCTGTCACACAATCAATCCATCAGTAGCTGAACTGGGTTCCACGCAGTCACAAAAACAGAACAAAAAAGAGCCGCAAAAACAAAAAGACAAAATAAATAGCAAAAACAGACAGACACTCAAAACGGAAGTGTGGCACTCAAAACAGAGCATGTTTGGCATCCAAAAAAAGTTCGCAAACGGGAACACTTCTAGGTTTGCAGTGTTTGGGTTCCAAGTTGTTTGAGTACCAAGGCATTTGAGAACCAAGGTACCACTGTACCTTCAGATGTCTTCTAAAGCCTTCAGATGTCTTCTAAAGGTTGTATAGTTACTTATTTCCTTGGCTCGGGGGACGCTTGGAGGGTTTGTTCTCAATTTTTTAATGAGGGACTCTACTTCCTGCCACAAACCCTTAATGGAGCACATTGTGCCTTGTGTTCCTGGGATAGGATGTACTACAGGAGAACAGGTTTTGCAAACACACACACTCCTCCAGCAGCAGAAACCGATGTGATTTACCAGCACGTAGAAAGGAGCAAAATGTCGGGTGGCCTGTGACTACCTGCCATTCTTGTGCATTTCCCAACAGAAGGGTGCTCTTTGGATGCAATTGACGTGCTTGCTGCAGTTCCCACGCTGACAAGGCCGGGCTGCTTGATGTCTGCGTCCAAATGGCAACTGACGTATTTCTAACAATCGGCGTGGCTAATGCAAGGGATCGGCTCCGATGGGATTTCACAGTTCTCGACGCTCCTGTCCTTGAAATGATGGAAAAGCATCATGTGCCTTCAGTTGGCAATTATCACAGGCAGTGCATCTCTCAGCCCATCACAAAAGCTTTTAAGCTTGTCAGCTATAGCTTTAGGATTCCCACACACCCCCACCTTCCTAAGGTCTGTTTTGCAAGCCTGGTTTTTTTAATGATCATGATGTGGCAAGAAAGTGGTTCTTTCCTGCTTAAAGTATATGTATTACATTTAAGCACTTCTGCTAGAAGGAGATCGTTTAAGGAACCCAGGGTCATTGGGAAGGAGTTCTGTGTTGGTTTTTTGCAAGGGCAGTGAGCAGGGATGGAGGAGGAATTTGATTCGGTATGCATTTAAAGCCAACTGTCAAACTTGGACTTTCCAAAACAATATGAGAACCGAAACACAGCTATCCTTCAAAATTCTCACTCCTCCGAATTTTGCAATGCAGTTCTGCAACCAAACAATAATTACAAAAATGAATATATATTAAGAAGCAGATACACAGCTGTCAACTTACAGATTTGAAAATAAGGGACCAGCAGCCTCGAAAATAAGGGATCAGCAGCCAGAACAGACAGTGGGGCAGATAGCATAGTCTGTGGCAGAAGATGAACTGCAGAGGAATAGAAACAGGGCTGCCTGTGGTGAAGTGGAGTGCAGAATGATTCCTTTCTCCATCTCTAGTCGCAACCTAGCAAAGGAATTGACCAAGCATAAGCTGTGAAGCCCTCATTTGCTCTCTCATTGCAATGCTCACTGAGACCTAAATGTTCTTTTCATCTGGAGCCATAGAAACTAAAGGCGACTAGTTGTGTGTGCCAGTAGAACAGGAGCGGCTAAGCTCTGATCCTCCATCACCCCTGACCAATGGCCATGCCGGTTGGGGCTGATGGAAGCTGAGCAGAATAGCATCTGCAGGTTCCTCATCCCTGCACTAGAACATCAGTGGAGACTGTTATGTACTGAAGTTCTCACCCTGGGCCAGCAGGGGGATACTGTAGATAGTTATGCAAATAAGGGATCGAAAGTGACTTTCAGTGATTGGATAGTTTTAGAAAATTGTTACAGTTACATTGTACTGGAGCTCTATATAAGCAGGCTGACTGAGCCCTTCAGTTCAGTTCAGTTCTGTCCTGGCCTGTGAATAAACAAGAGCTGTTTGATGAATCGTTGTGTCGTCTGATATGTTCACCCACAACTTAACACAGACATTCTGTTGTTCCTTTTTTAAAGTTGTGGCACAGGCAATAATTGCGAGTATATTCAGCTTATGCTTGATTTCACGGCATCCAACGGTCTTGAGTTGCAGTAGGGGTAAGAAAATTAAGGAGGCACATGTGTTTTACCCCCAAGGTAAAGGACCCCCGGACAGTTAAGTCCGGTCAAAGGCGACTATGGAGTTGTGGTGCTCGTCTCGCTTTCAGGCTGAGGGAGCTGGGGTTTATCCACAGACACCTTTCCGGGTCATGTGGCCAGCATGACTAGACCATTTCTGGCGCAATGGGACACCGTGATGGAAACCAGAGTGCACAGAATCGCCTTTTACCTTTCCACCACAACAGTACCTATTTATCTACTTGCACTGGTGTGCTTTTGAACTGCTAGGTTGGCAGGAGCTGGGACACAGCAACGGGAGCTCACCCCATCCTGGGGATTTGAACCATCGACCTTCTGATCAGCAAGCCCAAGAGGCTCAGTGGTTTAGACCACAGTGCCACCCGCATCCCTCCACCATACTAGAATACTAATATTTGTATAGCACAAAAAGGGGAGAATATCCTAGACCCATGTGCTACTGAAAGTCTTGTCTGAATTATCACATACTTCTCATCTTCTTGCACAGGCAGAAAGGCAGATGAACCAATGTCCCAAACACTAAGCAAGAGGTAGCATCCAGAGGCGCGAGCCAATCTCACAAAATGCGAAGCACGTGAACAACTCCGCTGGGTTAAAGCCAACATTAAGTACACACACGTAAGTCTCGCGGCACGGTTGGATTCAGTATATTCATTTGGGTTCTGAGTCAGATCATTCATCCTGGGGGAGGGCAGAAAAGCCCAAAGCAAACAGAAGTCATGCTACCTTTTAACCACAGCAAGTTTGGAAAGATCATGACAGGTTGATCAATAGCTGCTGAAGTGCTGAGCTCTCTTCCTTTGCAGCCGTGTGCACTTAATTCAGCAGCTTGTTTCGTCCAGGACGGCACTTTTTTTTTTGCATAACTTTGGCCTAAACCTTAGGCCCTAAAGAAAGCTCTAGAAAGGGAGGAGCCATTTTGGTCCAGCTGTGCATTTCAGAAAAGTTAACGGATATGAATGTGCCTTTCTGGACTATTTATTTCCTCGCAGCTAGCACAGAGGAAGCAAACCATGGTCCCTCGCTTAGCATTGTGTCTGAACTCAGGATTGTGGCTTGTTTCACTCCAACAAACCATGGCTGGCAAGCCAAGAACAAACTCAAGCTACAGATTGTGGTTTGTTGAGGGTGAAACAAACCAAAAAGCCCTGATTTGGATACAGTCGTGGTTTGCTTCCACTGCGTATTAGCAGGGGAAAGCGACAGCCTAGAAAGGCACAAACATGGTGCACCATTAACCATGGCTGGCCACAACGTGCAAATGAGGCCTGTATGAGGGTTGCATGGGTCAGTGGGCTACACTATATGGTTACACACCATCCCAATCTCTCAGTGGTGCGAGATTCCAGGAGTCTAGGTGTTTATCCAGGGTTTGTATTTCCTTTGGAAATGAGGCAGTGGAAACTGTGGTGTCTTTATGATATATGGTTTATTTGCACGTATATATACAACCTGAGCCAATGATGGAGGGGCCCACAGCATTACATTAGGTTCTTGCTTCTCCCATTGCCACAGTCTTGGATGCCAGCAGAAATCGGAAAGGCCCTCTGTCCCCCTGTTCAGCTTTCTGCGTTTAACCAATATCCTATATCTCAGCCAACTCTGCTTTTTCCCTGCGAACTACCCCCCCCCCCAGGGAAAGGGGAGGCTCACTGCCACCCAGCACAGAGCATCTCCTTGTTAATCACCTATTACCTCTTTTTTTATTCTCCCTAATGGCTCTTCTCCAGAGTGATTTCCAGAGCACAGAAAATCTGGTTTGGTCTGTACTTTGACACTGCTAAATTCGGCATCTAGCAGCCCATTTCAGTACTCCAAGCAATGATTAAACCCCAACACTGACTAGACCTAGGAATTTAGCAGAGAATCTGGCACCCCGGAATTTAGGGGAGTCAAGGCACCCACAAACTCATACCATTATATTACGCAACTATCTACATGTGATTTGCTCACTATATTTAACAACAATGTGGTTTCTACATGGGAATAATAGAAGAAGGGATGAACTTTTCTGTGCTTTCCACACACACACACAAACAAAAAGTTAAGTAACTGGAGCTCAACTCTAAGTTAGAAAAATGAGACACATTTTCATACTCTGTAACTTACATTAACAGTGGAATGCATAAGAATGTAAGATCACACCTGCTGGATCAGATTAAAGGCCCATCTAGCTTTGCAGAGGGAATAGGGCTCTCTTAACAACTGTTCTCCTGCCAACCTAGCAGTTCGAAAGCACGTCAAAGTGCAAGTAGATAAATAGGTACCACTCCGGCAGGAAGGTAAACGGTGTTTCTGTGCACTGCTCTGGTTTAGCTAGAAGCGGCTTAGTCATGCTGTCCACATGACCCGGAAGCTGTACGCCGGCTCCCTCAGCCAATAAAGCGAGATGAGCGCCGCAACCCCAGAGTCGTCCACGACTGGACTTAACTATCAGAGGTCCCTTTACCTTTTAACAACTGTTAGCTCTCTTAAACTACAGTTCCCAGGTTTCTTTGGGAGAAGTAATGACTGTTTAAAGTGGTATGGTACTGCTTTAACTGTATGGTGCAGATGGAGCCTCAATGTAGGATGGGAATGAATGAAAAGGACCAGAGAACATTTTGCCTTCAGAGTGTTTTACTAGATAGACTCACAGTTCCCAGAAGTTCAATATTCTTGCTTGTTGTTTATCTGACTCAGGCAAGTTTACCACCTATGAGAAACTTGATTTGCTGAGAAAATTAGAAATGAGGATATTAATTTAATGCCCTGTGTCATTCGGTATAAACTGCTGTGGAAATGCCTTATCAGCTTCCTCTTCCAGATAGCGTTTCCCTTGGTTTTTGTAACCATAGCAATCTCAGTGCTTGTATTCATTTGACTTGCATCTTCGTGCAGCACGACTCTTATCATGTTCTAAATGGAGCCTTGTTTTCTAATGAACTGGGGTGGTGGGCAAATAAATTTGACTCACTCAATGAGAAAATAACATTCTAAAGAGAAAATGTTCATCAACTGTAGCTCAGAAGGCTCCACCGTAAAGCCACAAATATGGGTAAATGGAATTGTTCAAAAGGCGCTTGGTGGAACAAAGATCTTGCCTGCCTCTGAAATACCTATGCTAGGAGAGGATATATTTAAAACCATAATCACCCAAACAGCCTTGTAAAAGGTTAAAAAAAAACAACATTTACTCACTCATAGTTTCTGTTGCAGAATATCAGATACAGCAGCTTTGTTCAGGCAGGCTTAAAATGGTAATTCAGTTACAAAAGACATGCTTAAGTCTGGCTGAAGGTGGTGTCTGAGCAGTTAAGCTCAGATATGCAGATTGTTCTGACATTTCTGGCTTGGCGTTGAGATGAAGAGGTAAGAGTGAAGAGAGACAACAAAGGATGTGCCCACACAGGCAGGGCCAGATTTAGGTTTGATGAGGCCCTAAGCTACTGAAGGTAATGGAGCCCTTTATATGTCCAGCTGTCCTTTGTCAACAACAAATTCTGGCTGTTTTTTGTGTTGAATATATGCTATATGGTCATTTATGGACCTAATAGGTATCTAAAGCCATTTGCAGATGTTGCCATGCAACCAGTCCATGCAGAATGTAGGCACCCTATATGTAGAAATGAGCAAACCAGTGATATTTTAGGGAGCTGGCTAGCAGGGGGAGGCCATTACTCACATAATAGGAGCCTACACAACGCAAAACACTGTTGCTGGATGTAGGTTTTATTTTGTTTTTTTATCTTATATTTTGGAAATGTACATCCAGGTGTGTTTTTTTTTCATTTAATTGGGGGGGGGGCCAAGAGAATGGGGCCCTAAGCTATAGCTTGTTTAGCTTATACGTAAATCCGGCACTGCGCACAAGTAAGGAGAATATTTATATGGCTACACCCTTCCCCTGTCAGGGCACAATGGGAGTTCTCTCTAGCAAACTTACAGGAAAGCTCTGAGCTTCAGCTCCTATCATGTGCCTATCTAGAAAACATGCATTGTTGGTTTGACGTCACAGTAAATATCCCACATGTGTTGCTTCGAGGCGATATGTAAATAGAGCTATTGCACAGGCCAGGAGGGGCTAGCATGGCACCTTTCAGATGCTGCGGAACTACAGTTCCCATCATCCCTGACCATTGGCCATGCTGGCTGGGGCTGATGAGAGTTGGAGTCCCATAACATCCAATGGACACCATGTTGCCTACCCTGGCTTAGGCAGAGTGTGCTGGGCCTGGGGGTAACCCATGAAACATGGTCCAGAATCCAAAGGTTCCACTGGGAGCCAGTCCGACAGAGCCAAGGCAAGACACGAGGCAGGAAACCAGGCAAGGACAGGTACAGGATTTCAGGCAGGATCTAGCATACAGCAACGTTGCTCCCGCAACCTGGGGCGGGGTCCGACAGCCTTTTATCTTTGTCGGGGTAACGGCTGGTCCTGATCCCCTGGTGACTCACCTCCCTGTCCGAAGGTGAGCACTCCTCCTGCAAGTACTCAGGTCTCTCCTTCTCTCAGACCTTAGTCTCTGCAGCTCGGGAGACGTTGGTGGGTTACTAGACCCAGAGGTCACCTCAGTCTCCCCTAACCCAACCGGTAGTGGAGCAGCCGTAAGTGATGGCCCAGCTGAAGGCAACGAGATAATCCCCGCATCTGGAGCCAGGGCAGGCTCCGGCCCCTGACTTGGCCTAGCTGGTGTTTGTTGCAGGGGAACCTGTGCAGACTGGGACTCTTCAGGATCAGGCCCCAGACTTGGTTCAGAGGATGCCAGTCTCCTCTGGTTCCGAGCCCAAGTCCCAGGCCATCACACAGAGCCAATCAAGGGCAAGAGGTAATGCTTGCTTAATTATAACTAGCCAAGTGTGAGTCTTGCAAGCTTCCCATTCAGTTCAGTATGGGTTTTGCAAGTAGTTTCCTGGCAGACTCTTTGAGTCAGATCTGTCTGTCTTCCCATCTGCAGCCTTAATGACCCACCTGAGACAGCCACCCCATAGCAGAGCCGTCCGTTCTCTCCATGGGTCAGCCAATTTCTCTAATTAGCTAGAGTTTTCAAAGCAGCAATGGGCTTTGTTTCCATTACGGTCTCTTCATGCACCCAGGACACAGTGTATGTTTCCATACTGAACACTCATCAAAGACACTCATCAAAGAACTTGTTCTCTCTCATAAGACATCCCAGCAAAGAACATTTTCAACCTTCCTGGAAGAAACTGGATGTATGCATATTTACGGAGAACAAAGCCTTTGTCCGTGATTGCCACTGTTGCCTTCGGAAAACCTTCCCCTCTGGGTTTTGGTCTTCTGAAGTTCCATCCTGCAAATGTATCTTAGACATTCATAATAAAGGCCTGAGGCGATTAACATCCAGCAGTTATTCTCCGGATTATACTCCTCTCCCCTTCGCTCTCATGCTTGCCTTGTTCTAGCCAGCTTTTGAGAGCACCAGGATCTAAGCTAGAACTTCTGAGGGCTGAACTTGAGCAGATGTTAACCAGCAATAGAAAGAAGGTTGCAGGTTCCCTCTGGGTGTTACTGTACTTCAACTCCCACCAGACCAAGTCAATATGACCAATGGTCAGGGAGGATGGGAGTTTAGGTCCAACAATATCTGAAGTATACCTGAAGGAGCATCTCCACCCCCATCATTCAGCCCAGACACTGAGGTCCAGCTCTGAGGGCCTTCTGGTGGTTCCCTCACTGTGAGAAATGAAGCTACAGGGAACTAGGCAGAGGGCCTTCTCGGTAGTTGCGCCCACCCTGTGGAACGCCCTCCCATCAGATGTCAAGGAAATAAACAACTATCTGACTTTTAGAAGACATCCGAAGGCAGCCCTGTTTAGGGAAGTTTTTAATGTTTGATGTTTTATCGTGTTCTTAATATTCTGTTGGGAGCTGCCCAGAGTGGCTGGGGAGCCCAGCCAGATGGATACGGTATAAATAATAAACTGTTGTTGTTGTTATGAGCCACGGGGTCCCTATCCTTGCTGTAGAACTGGACCCTGGACCCTCCTTCAAGCAAATCTGTAGGGACTGTGGCCTCAGATTACCTCTTCCCAGGGAACTCTGGGAAGTGTAGTTCCGTGATGGGAAGAGGGGTCTCCTAACAACTCTCAGCACCCTTGGCAAACTACAGTTCCCATGATTCTTTGCAGGAGGCCATGGCTGTTTAAAGTGATGTGATACTGCTTTAGATGTACAGTGCAGATGGGGCCTAAGCGTTTTGGCTGAAATAATTATTTAAATCCAGTCTCCCCCAGCTCAGACTCAACACATTGGCTCCCTAGTTAGAGATCATTCTTAGAAAAAGATTGCTTTCTCCCTTCCATGCTTCCAAATTACTTTATGCATGCCTACCTTTAAAAAGAGTTTGGAACTCATTATCTACACACCGATAACTTCTGCTTTTAGGTTTACAGAGATAGGTCTTAGTAATAACTCTTAACAAAACCTTGCACATGAAGAATATTTCTGTAACAGAAAGGAATGTGGGGTCTCCTTGTCTGAAGACTCCAAAAGTGAACCTTCTTGGAGAAAATCCAGTCAAGTCATGTCAGCTGATGAAGACATCCTGTGTCCTTTTAAAATGTGGTTTTTTGGGGGGCGGGGGCTATTGAGTTGTTGTTTTTATTTTTATTAGGTATTTTGTGGTTTTATATCTTGATTTTATTCTGTGAACTGTCCTGAGACACACACACACACACACACACACACACACACACACCTCGGGTATAGGGTGGTATATTAATATTAATAATTATTATAATACTACTACTAATAATAGAGATGGTATGTTTCTTGCACAGGTAAATGGAAGATCTGGAGACACGCAAGGCACGTCGGATAGAGCAGATGGTAGCCAAATGGCTGCGGCGGTCACGGGATCATGCAGCCAGGTAGGTATTTTAAGCAAACGTCATTAAAAGGGGGGGGATGAGGGATACCCTAGTTTCATAGGGGCATAGTTTGGAAGTGGGTGTTTTCTTGCACCTCCTCTTGTCACTTGGGCCTCAGGTGGTAGTTGTGGCAAGCAGTACCTATTACCAGACCCTCGGCTGATATTCCTACGGCAATCCTTCACTATGCAAAGTAGCAAACATCCTCAATTTTTATCCTCAATTGTAGCATTTTATGCATTGCAACCTGCTGTGTTTTTTAATTGATTACAGTGGTACCTGTGGATGCGTATGGGGTCCGTTCCGGAGCCCTGTTCACATCCAGAAGCAAACGCAACCAGCTCATGCGCGGGTCACGATTCGCCACTTCTGCGCATGCGCGTGACATCATTTTTACTGTCTGTGCATGCACAAGCGGCGAAACCCGGAAGTACTGCACTCTGGGTCGCCGCAGTGCGCAACCCGAAAATACTTATCCCAAAGCTACTTCAACCCGAGGTATGACTGTATAGTTTAGTAATTATTTTCTGTGATTAAGAGTAGATTTCTCTTTCAGCTTTTATTGCAGTGTCTGGGTTTTCCTTTTGATCTTTCTGTCCCTGTCTCCCTCTGCCTCCTGCCTTCATCCTCAAGCTCCTTATCCCTCCCCACCAAGGCCGGCCCACCTATGAGAGAGGGTGAGACAACCACCTTGGGTGGCAAGATCCACAGGGACAGCAGATCCTGATGTTAATCTTTAGTGACTCTCCCTCCCCCCACGCTGTTTCTGATGCAAATCTTCACTCACCTCTTCTTCCTTGACAGGGAGGGGGCACCGTTTTGTGGTTTGCCTCAGGTGGCAAAATGTATTGAGCCGGCCTTGTTTCCTATCTCTTCTCTCTCTTTCTCTTGCATACTGTCGGATGGCAATGGTGGTTGCTCGTGAGTAACCAATCAGGACTCCGACCTGTCTTTTACAGGTTTTATTTTGGTGCAAAACTATTTACAGTGCTGAACCACAAGTTCATGTCTGCCTCAATCGCTAGCAGAATTCGGGAGTGGTCGTTCCCGGGTCCTCCCCCAACATAATAGCTTAGTCACCCCCAGCCTTTTCCTTCCTTCTTTGCATTTTACACCTCTGCACAGGGTGGGCAACGGAAGAGACATGCTTCCCTCCTGGCCGGCTTGACCAGGAGCGGTGCTGAGGCTCCTAGCAGCATCCTCTGGTCCTTTCACCTCTTCCCCACTGGAAGTGGGGCTTTCCCCACCACAGGAAGAGGAACTGCTTCGCAAGATTTTCGGAGGTTCCCTGTAACCCAACTGCCCCTCTGCTTTCCTTCCCTGTTCCAATGGCAGTCCACTGACACATACACACACTCCCCCCACCACTTCCTGTCCAAATCCTGGTTTCCCCTGCCAGTCTTCTCTTTATTCTCCTCTCGTGCCGGTCCCAAGGGTTAACCATGCAGCGAGGTCTGAGTCCAGTCCGAGGTCGAGGGTGCGGTATGGAGGCTGTCCATCAAAGCTGAAGCGGGGTCCAAAGCAGGGAGTCGGGTGAGGTCAGGAACTCTGGCAGAAGAGCAGGACAGGGTGCAGGCAGGAACAGGCTACCAACAATGTTGCTTCTGCAAACTGGGACTGGGGCTGGCTGGCTTTTATCTCCCCCAAGGCATAGGGTGGCCCCGGTCCACAGGTGACTCGCCTCTCCTGGCCTGGAGGCGAGCACTCCTCCTGCGGGAACTTAGTTCCCTCTGCCTCTCTGCCCTGAGCCTCTGCAGATCAGGAGAGGCTGGAGGGTTACCGGACCCAGAGGCAACCTCAGCTTCCTCTGACGGGGCTGAGAGTGGAGCACCTGCAGGCAATGGGTCCTCTGTCACCTCAGGGTCCTCAGGGGCCAGAGCAGACTCAGCTGGTGCCTGCACCTGAGGATCCAGCACAGGTGAGGACCCTTCAGGTTCAAGCCCCAGCCCCGGCTCAGCTGGTTCTGGAGGCGGGGACTCCTGTGCAGGCTGGGATTCCTCAGGTTCAGCCTCCGAGTCCAAATCCCAGGCCATCACACCTCTTCTCACATATCCTTCTGTTCCTGGTCTGCCCGCCTGCCTTTCTCTCTCACACACAGCAGGCTGTGTGGTCTCAGAAAATGCCCACCTCTGCCTCTTGCAATTGCTCCACTCGACACTGCTGCTCTCTGATTTCTCTCTCACCTTCTTTGCCCTCTCTGGGGCATATGCTGAAAGCTGGAGCCTTAATCTATCCAGGCTCCCATGCCAGTGCTTGCTATTCTTTCTGCCCGTCTGCCACTTAAACTATGCTACGTCCTGGCAAGCTCTGGAAGTTGTCACCCTGCGATACCCGGAGTGCTGCCAACATTCCTGTGCCTACTTCCATTATCTCCGCTTCTTTTCATGCCAGCCTCTCCTCCCTCCCGCCCTGGCTGCCCAGGGCACTTGCTGTAAGCAGAAGTCCTAGAATGGCTGAAACAACTTGCCTGCCAACTCTACCCCTTCCTTCCTTGCCGCTGCCCAGTTCAATAAGAGCCTCTCTCTTTGGGCTCCCAGGCTGCCTGCCTGCCTGGAGAACAAAGGCTGTGACCTCATCCTGACATTTTCTGATGCAGACAGTGGCTTTTGTGACATCATCCTGGTGTTGCCCACCTGAAGCAGGAACAGGTGGTCCCCTCCCACAGCTGCTGTCCTTCTGGCAGAAAAAAAAAGAAAAATGTTATGCCCCAATGCCTGCACATTGTTGTCATTGCCATTACTTATTATTTACTCACTATACAACTAATCCAGAATGCGGCAGCCAGACTGGTGACTGGGAGTGGCCGCCGAGACCATATAACACCGGCCCTGAAAGACCTACACTGGCTCCCAGTACGTTTCCAAGCACGATTCAAAGTGTTGGTGCTGACCTTTAAAGCCCTAAATGGTCTCAGCCCAGTATACCTGAAGGAGCATCTTCACCCCCATTATTCAGCCTGGACACTGAGGTCCAGCTCTGAGGGCCTTCTGGTGGTTCCCTCACTGCGAGCAGGGAGGTTACAGGGAACCAGGCAGAGGGCCTTCTCGGTGGTGACGCCCACCTTGTGGAACACACTCCCTTCAGATGTCAAGGAAATAAACAACTATCTGACTTTTAGAAGACATCTGAAGAAAACCCTGTTTAGGGAAGTTTTTAATGTTTGATGTTTTATTGTGTTTTTAATATTCTGTTGGGAACTGCCCAGAGTGACTGGGGAAGCCCAGCCAGATGAGCGGGGTATAAATAACAAAATTACTATTGTTGTTGTTGTAGTAGTAGTATTTGATTTCTTGCCCATCAAGATGTTCAGTGGTGGAGAATCTGCCTTGCATACAAAAGATTTCAGGTTCCATCCCCAGTGTCTCTGGGTACATCTGGGAGAGAGCCCTGTCTGAAACCCTGGAGAGCTGAGCCTTCTTCTCTTGGGGGTCCCCCAGTTTGTGCCTCTCACCATTCCTCTGTGTCCATGCCAGTCCATGACAGACACTTCCAAACTGTTGCTATTTTCAGGAAGGAATCAATAACGTCCTGGCAAATTCAGGTTGTGAATTTCTAGGCGATTGGGAGGCCCTGTGCAATAGACTCAGTTCTCCAAAAAGATCAGACTTCCTGCAATATGGAAAGTGTCAGAAAAATGCACTGGAAAGCATAATAATAATAATAATAATAATAATAATAATAATAATAATAATAATTTATTATTTATACCCTGCCCATCTGCCTGGGTTTCCCCAGCCACCCTGGGCGGCTCCCAACAGAATTAAAAGCACTACAGAGTGGGATGGAAAAGGATACCTTCCTGCATCCCTAAGGACAACCTTCTTTTTTATATATAAATTTATTCATTTAATTTTACATAATTAGTTATACATAACAAACATATCAATTCAAACAAACAAAGAACACAAAAGGTTATCTCAAACCTCCATCTACTCCTCCATGGGTTCCATTTTTATAATTTTGTTCCTGCATCTTTTCCTGTAATCTATCTACTGTAATAATAAATGTCCATAATATCCAATTTACTGTAATCTACTTAATAATAAATGTCCATAATATCCAAAGTCCACGTTTCTTTACAAGTGTTTTTTATATTCCTGCTACTGATTTTAACCGTTTACAGTGATCTCTCAAATATGTTTCAAAGTCATCCCAGTCCTTAATAAAGATTTGGTCTTCCTGATTTCTGACCTTTCCCGTCATTTTTGCCATTTCGGCATATTCCATCAACTTGGTCTGCCGTTCATCTTTGTCTTCTTTCCGTCTCTGGGCTGAGAGCATCTGTGCTGCTGTCGCCGCATACATAAAGAGAAATTTCTTATCTTTTGGTAATTCTGCACCTATAATTCCTAATAAAAAAAGCTTCTGGTTTTTTAACAAAAGTTATGTCAAACATTTTTTTTCCCAATTCATTATATATCCATTCCTATGGGCAACCTTCTTAGGCATTTTTTTTATAAAAAAATTTTTGCAGGGGAAGAGCGTCAGTGGGTGACAGAACATCGGACAGCGTTAATCAGCATCCAACTCGTGTGAAGCTCACAGTGGAGGTCCAAAAAGATGTGCTACTTGGACATTATGGCTTTGAAGTTTCTCAGCATCTTCCCCTTCTTATCACCTCAGTTGCTACAGGTAGGGATGATATCTCTCTAAGGTAACACCAAATGGCATGCAATGATGACAGGGGGATGGGGGGGGCAGGAATGAATCACACAGAGTAGGCAAAGTTACCGTATTTTTCGCTCCATAAGACACACTTTTTCCCTCCTAAAAACTAAGGGAAAATGTGTGCGCGTCTTATGGAGCGAATGCGGGAGGGAGGCAGGCAGGAAAAGCCCCCAAGAGCTGCACACAAGCTCCACGCGGCTCTTGCGGGCTTTTCCCCAGGAGGGAGAAGGGATTGACGCGGCCAGTCAGTCCCTTCTCCCTCCTCTTAGAAAAGCCCGCAGGAGCCACGCGCTCCTTAAAGGGTGCACAGCTCCTGTGGGCTTTTGCGGGGGTATTGCCATAGCCGCGCGCAGCCCCCCTTCTATGGCAGAAGCCGAGACAGCGAGGGGGATGGATCCTGCTCGCTGTCTTGGCTTCTTTGCTCTTTGGGGCTGGGGGGGGGGTAATAAGATTTTTTTTCTTGATTTCCTCCTCTAAAACTGGTGCGCCTTATGGTCCAGTGCGCCTCATGGAGCGAAAAATGCGGTAACTCTGTTTTCGAAGAAACAAGGTCTGCTCAGGAGCGCCAGGTCTAATGAGCACAGCAACTCTTCTCTCTTTTTAAAATATTTATACTTTTCAGATACATACATTTCACTGATGTTACATTCATTTTGACATTTTAAAACTTGACTTCCTTCCCCCCTCTTTCTGCAGTTCCTTAAATTTATTTTCAATTTCTTCTGCATATCCAAATTAACTTTACTTACTCATTTATTTATCATTCATATATTCTTCTTTCTTCTTTGGCGATCACTCATAGAAGAGTAAGATTGTCTTCCATAAACACGGTTTTAACAATGAGTCCGTAAGTGACTGTGGAGGCCATAAGTCCTTCCACAGTGGGGACATAGGTTTCTGGGAGGGAGTTGATCACGATGTGGATTTGCCAAGCGTGCCTTCCTCTTAACACGTTTCTGCCTTGCGTTCTGAGTTCGAGTGTCTTCAAAGTCCATGACACCTTTGGTAAAAGCTGTTCATATATATATGTTCACACACACACACACACACACACACACACACACACTTATATAGCTACAGGTTATTACAACAATCCCGCCAATGTTTTTATCTGTTTACAATTTATCTATAAATATTCAATAAACCATTAACATTCGTTTATAAAATGTTTGTTATCCTGATTTCTTATTCTTCCGGTAAGTTTTGCCATTTTTGTATATTCCATAAGTTTTTGTATAAATCTTCCTTTGCTGGGACTTCTTTCCATTTTTGGGAACAGCAGCTCTTCGTCATAGGTCTTGCCCCTATGTCACAGTTGTAGAGACTGAAGGTGCCCAGCTTCACGCAAAGCCATTTCCGACCTGGGAGGAGAGGAGGTTGCGGGCAGAAATCCCTCCCACATCTCACACGCGGGGGCTGGTCCTTGCCCCCGCGTGATCAGGGAATTCCCGGGCATGTCGGCGACCCGGCCCGCCAATCAGCAGGCCGGGGAGGCGTGGCCTAGCCTATTTAAGACTAGGCACGCCCGGGGACCACCCTCTTTGCCCCTTTCCAGCTGAGCGGTTTTCCCATCCCACCCTCCCTTCAGGTTTAGCTAGATTTGACCTTGCTATGGACTTCGGTTGGTCGCCGCAAGGGGCCTGGTAGGAATTTTTCCAAGTCGGCACACTTCGAGCCTTTTGGTTTTTTCGCCTACCTCGTAGCAAACGTCACAACTTATTCGGTATTGGCGGTTAGGCATTGGCAGGGGTCAATTGTTATGCAAATGAAGGGGGGAAGGAAGCGCCATCACCTTCCCCAAAAAGAAAGGGTAGTCCGGTAGAGGACTCCGGGGGGCATGGCCTTGTCCGAAACCTAGGGAGGTAAGGGCCTCCGGCACGCCCCAGAGCGGTGACACCCATGGGATCCTAGTTGGCGTACTTCAACAGGACTCCCATGGCTTGTGGACAACCCTTCCCGGTCCCCATGCCGGGTAGTCGATAGGAGCCAATGCCTAAGGCCAATACCTTCCAATTCTGTAATCAATAAAGTTGTGGGCTTTTTTTATGCCCATTAACCTTAAATACTGTGTCCAGTGTCTTTATTTCACATGGGGGAGGGGACTTGCCACGCAACTGCCTGAATCTCCTCCTTCTCGGGTCCTTCCCAAGCAATCTGAGACTACACCGATGTGCCTGTCTCTGCTCCTCTCTCTTCATACCTCTTCTGGTTCTGGGAGACCGAGGAGAGGGGAGCTTGTTGCAGCAAGAAGGGGACACACCCAGCATGACTCATCTCCTGCTTCTGAGGAGGAGCACTACCATTCCTTCCTGAGCTGACTAGGGTGGGATGGAGTCACTCAATGGTGGAGTTACAACTCTTTGGGTAACTTTGGTTTGTATTTTCATGTTGTAAGATGTCTGAAGTGAGGCTCCAGCTTTCTGCAATTCGAGTTGATTTTGTAAACCCGGAGAGATAATTTGTCCCTAACAAGGCCCTGACATTTTACAGGCAGCACCGCTGACGGGAAGCTTTTGCCGGGGGATCACATCATTGCAATAAACAACAAAGCAGCTGAAGAGGACGTTACCGGGGAACAAGCAGCCGCTCTTTTAAGGTACTATGCGTGAGCATGCCCAAAGCATTAGATAATGCAGCTGGGCCCCAGGAAAAGCTTAGGTTCTCTCTTTTTATATATATAAAAATTCATTTATTTGATTTTTCAGATTAAAGTTTTACAATCGCATATACAACATAAAAACAAGATTCCAATGAATCTCCTGGACTTCCCTCCTCCCTTTTGTGGGTCCTATTGTTAATCATTTCCTCCTGCATCTTTTATAACAATCCAAATCTTTTACATCTCATGTCCAAAATTCGCGATTAAACTGCAAGTGTTATTCCAATCCTACTAACAATTTTAACTGTTTACAATGGTTTTTAAGGTAAATTATAAATTTCTCTTTAGGGACATGGGTGGCGCTGTGGGTTAAGCCACAGAGCCTAGGACTTGCTGATCAGAAGGTCGGCGGTTCGAATCCCCGCCACAGGGTGAGCTCCCATTGCTCGGTCCCAGCTCCTGCCAACCTAGCCGTTCGAAAGCACGTCAAAGTGCCAGTAGATCAATAGGTACCACTCCGGCAGGAAGGTAAATGGTGTTTCCGTACGCTGCTCTGGTTCGCCAGAAGCGGCTTACTCATGCTGGCCACATGACCCGGAAGCTGTACGCCGGCTCCCTCGGCCAATAAAGTGAGATGAGCACCGCAACCCCAGAGTCGGTCACGAATGGACCTAATGGTCAGGGGTCCCTTTACCTTTACCTATAAATTTCCCCCATTCCTGATTAAAATTTTGGTCTTCCTGATTTCTGATTCTTCCGGTCAGTTTTGCCATTTTGGTATAATCCATCAACTTAATCTGCCATTCTTTTCTGGTAGGGAGAGGGACAGCTTAGGTTCTCACCAGAGATTTGTGCTAGCATAGACAGGGTTTGGGTATCCCAAGGAGGATCCAGATTTGTCTTTGGCATCTCCTAACCATGTTCAATCAAGAGTTACTTATTTCTGTAGTGCTGTGGTGTCACGGTCTGGTTCACGGGCGATCAAAGTCCCGGCAGGGGACGTCAGGACCAGGGGCAAGATGGTGGGGTGGGAACAGGAACAGGGGTCCAGAAACCAGGAGTCAGGAGTCAGGAAACCAGGAGAGCTGGGAGTCAAGAAGCTAAGGGTCCGAGGGTCAGGAAGCAAGGAGTCAGGAAGTCAAGGGTCTGAGGATCAAGAAGCAAGGAATCACGAAGGTAGGGGTCCGAGGACCAAGAAGCAAGGAGCCAAGGAACCAAACGCAGCAAGGCAGGGAACGTGTTGCTGTGGCAAAGAGCTGAAGGGAAATGCTGACCTTATATCCCTTCCCAGCTCTTGCCACCAGGCGCCGTGAGTTACCAATCGGCCTCACCTGTGAGGCCACGCCTTACAAACTTAGGAAGGCCCCAGTCCTGGTCATAGGGCCTGGCTTCTGCACGCATACCTGAAACATGGCACTTTACAGAATAGTGGTACCTCGGGTTAAGTTCCGGAGGTCCGTTCTTAACCTGAAACTGTTCTTAACCTGAAGCACCACTTTAGCTAATAGGGCCTCCTGCTGTTGCCACGCCGCCAAAGCACGATTTCTGTTCTCATCCTGAAGCAAAGTTCTTAACCTGAGGTAATATTTCTGGGTTAGCGGAGTCTGTAACCTGAAGCGTATGTAACCCGAAGTACCACTGTACAAGTCATATGGTGTTTGAGATGGCAGTGAAGCATCCAGGCAGGAATATTGGGGAGACGGTTGGAGATTCAGGACTTGAATGAGGAAGACAGTTTAAAAGTAGAGCAATAGAGATGACTTGGGTGTCATCTGTGTGGCGCTGATGGTCTAAACCACTGAGCCTCTTGGGCTTGCCAATCGGAAGGTCAGCGGTTTGAATCCCCACAACAGAGTGAGCTCCCATTGCTCTGTCCCAGCTCCTGCCAACCTAGCAGTTTGAAAGCACACCAGTGCAAGTAGATAAATAGGTACCACTGTGGCGGGAAAGTAAATAGCATTTCCGTGCGCTCTGGTTTCCGTCCCGGTGTCCCGTTGCGCCAGAAGCGGTTTAGTCGTGCTGGCCACATGACCCAGAAAGTTGTCTGTGGACAAACGCCGGCTCCCTCTGCCTGAAAGTGAGATGAGCACCACAACTCCATAGTCGCCTTTGACTGGACAAACCATCCTTTAACTTCTTACCTTTTACCATCTGTGTATAAGTGGTACTGAAAGCAACGGGGCCTGGATGAAGTCAATAACTCATACAGTGGTACCTCGGGTTAAGTACTTAATTTGTTCCAGAGGTCCGTTCTTAACCTGAAACTGTTCTTAACCTGAAGCACCACTTTAGCTAATGGGGCCTCCTGCTGCTGCCACACCGCTGGAGCACAATTTCTGTTCTCATCCTGAAGCAAAGTTCTTAACCTGAAGCACTATTTCTGGGTTAGCAGAGTCTGTAACCTGAAGCGTCTGTAACCTGAAGCGTATGTAACCCAAGGTACCACCGTAGTACGTCTTTAGATAAAAGGTAGTTTTGCTACTATCCAGGGTATGTATTATCTCCCTTGTGGAAACAGCTGTTGTATATTTTCATTTTCTTTTCTTTTCTTGCCTTACAGGGAATCAGAAGACACTCTCCAGTTTACAGTTCTCCGATGCACCTCGGTAAATTGCCTTCATGTACCACCGGGGTTTGAAATGCTCCTTGGGGGGGTCAGGGTTTGGCCTTCTGATGGGTGTGCGCAAATGAGATGTTCCCGGAGGTAATCTTAAGAGTTACAAAGGATGAGTAGGGGGAGATGTCCCTGAGACTAGGGAACATGCACTTTTTGCAGCTCTGGAGAGGCCACACACATCAGTGGCGGACATTTTGCCCTCACCGTAATGTTGCTGGCATTAGTGCAACATTATGGACAGAGGGTTGACCACCCATTGCATGCCAACGTGTGTGACCGCATCCTGTTGACAGCCTGTCGAGATAAAGATAAGCTGCTTCCAGGGGGCAGCTGGGGGGTAAAGAAAATCAGGCACAATGTGGTGCTTAACCCTTGCCCTCCTGCTGTTTTCCCCTTCCAAATCACTCTCCAAATATGTTTTCCTGCATTTAGAACCCTCCCGTGAGAACAGCCATACAGGTGGGGTCCACTTTGGTGCCCAGTGAAGACTTTCTCATTCGTTCTGACATTTTCATTGTGTTTTAAATCTGAGCTGTTTTTTTGGGGGGGGGGGTTTCCAGCTTTTCAAATTTTATTTGTACTTTTCAAGCTTATACATTTCACTAGTTTTATACATTTCGCTAATTTTACAATCATTTTAACATTTCAAAACTGGACTTCCTTCCCCCTCTTTCTGCCGTTCCTTAAATTTATTTTTAATATCCTCTGCATATCCAAATTCACTCAATTTGGTCATTTATTCACCTGCTTTAAATGCAGACTCTTATAGAAACTGCAGGTTATTGCAATAATCCATTCAATCTGAGCCGTTTTACTCTGTCTCCATTGTAGCTTGGATATTGCCCCAGCTTTTTGGTGGGCTTTAATGACGACGACGTTTCACGTTTTCAGCATGGTTTTGTTTTGTTTTGTAAGCCACTTATTTATTTATTTCTGGGTGAGGATGCACATTCAGTCAATAAATTTGGAGCAATTCAAAGAGCGAAAGTGTTGTCTCCCACACATTTCTCCATTTCTGATTCGCCCCCTCCCTGTGAACAGTTTTTTAAAACAACAACAAGAAGAAGAGATCATTAGGCTACCATTTCTCTGCACTGGGTTGCCGTAGGCAAACGCGAAGGAAGTCCTTCTCCTTAAAGTGCTCTTTGTGAAGTTCCCAGAGGCATCAGGAGAGCTGTTGCAGGAAAGAACGCTGGTCAAAATGGACGCCTGATCGGATCCAGCAAGACTATTTGTAATGGCTTGATAGCAGAGGTGGAGCTAGCTGCTCCGGCACCCGGAGCGGCACACATGCTGTGCTCCCAGGGGTGGGACGAGCCACCCACAGGGAGGGCGAGGTGAGAGTCCCAGGGGGGCACAGAGGCGTGCGTCCCAGAGGTTGAGCCACCCATGGCGGGCTGCTTCCTGGGGGTGAGTGAAGGGAGCCGCACCCCTTTGCCAGCAGCCTTCCACCCTTCCCACTTCCTTTTGACAGCTTGGGGGAGGCTACCCCTGCTGGCATTCAACCAAGGAAACGGGGGCAATTGGCAGGCCCCCAGCTGGCTCCAGCCCACCGGCCGGTGTGCCAGGCAAACCCCAGTCCTTCGTGCAGCATGAATCTGTGACCTGAGCTTCAGAAGCTAGGGCACGCTACTCAGCAGAGTAAACACTGGGCAAACAGAAGTGGCAGGAGAGGCTGTGTGAGTATATTTACAGGCAGTTTATTCAGCGTACATCAGGGCAAAAGGAAACATGTCTGATCTCCTTCATGTCCCAAGCAAAACGGCTAAAGCAAAAGCTATAGACAAATGGAAGTTCCCAGCATACTGTGCTGGAATGTAAACAGACATGTGACACACAACAATTATGCCTGTTCCTTAAGGTGGAACGGAATATCCTAACACCCCCCACCCCAGGAAGCACCCCAGGAGCAGGGGGCAACAGCGTGCTGCCTGCCCGCGACTCCCAAGCCTCCCCCGAGCTGTCAAAACAAAGGGGAGAAGGCCGTCGGCAAAGCCGTCCCTTCCCCCAATGGATTGGGGTAGGCTTGGGAGTCACGGGCAGGGCGGCACGCCGAATGTCACCCCCCTCAGTGATGACACCCGGGGCAGACCACCCTCACCAGTGGAGGTAGAGGCAGTGTGGTGTAGTGGTTAAGAGTGCTGGACTCGTAATCTGGTGAACTGGGTTCGCTTCCCCGCTCCTCCACATGCAGCTCCTGGATCTCTCTTCTGTAAATCTGGGACTGTCCCTGGAAAACAGGGACACCTGGAAGGTCCTGCATCCAGAAACTCAACAGACCAACACCTGCTTAGGTTCACTCTGACTATCTAACAGCTATGCAGAAGATGACCTTGGCAGATGCAGTCTCTGCCCCACCCCAAACTTGCATACAGTGGTACCTCGCAAGACGAATGCCTCGCAAGACAAAAAACTCGCTAGACGAAAGGGTTTTTTGTTTTTTGAGCTGCTTCGCAAGACGATTTTCCGTATGGGCTTGCTTCGCAAGACGGAAACGTCTTGCAAGTTTGTTTCCTTTTTCTTAACACCGTTCATACAGTTGCGACTTGACTTTGAGGAGCAACTCATAGAACGCGGTGTGGTAGCCTTTTTTGAGGTTTTTAAAGACTTTGGTGCTTTTTGAAGCTTTTCCAAAACTTTCCCGACACCGTGCTTCGCGAGACGAAAAAATCGCAAGACGGCAAAACTCACGGAACGAATTAATTTCGTCTTGCAAGGCACCACTGTAACATATTTGCAGTTCTGTACAGGATGGGAAAGGTGTACAGGACGCCTCTGGTCAGACTGGAGTCTTTGTATGGAAAAGTCCCTTCCTACTCTATAAACAAAAGACTCTGGCTAAGCTGTCCATAACAGCCAGAACAAGACAGACACAGTATCTAATGTAAAAAAAATCTGTCTGTTCAGTACAAAACAATGTGGCTTCTTCTGTCTGCAAAGGCTAGACAAATGTGCTTCCTTCAGGAACATTATAAAGCAACACACATTTAAGGCATAATGGGCAGTATCCGTACAGCCACTCTGGAGTTCGGTTCAAAATATTACAGAAAGAAAACCCTATGATTTTGAACAAGAGCTGCGCAGTTGGAAACAAGATGTCCGTTCCAGTGCCTTTTTGACCCCCCCCTTCCAAAATCTCAACGTAACATTAATGCTTGTGGCAGATAACACAGGCAATTCACTTTTCATGTGGACCATATTTTGAAGGGACAGTGACAGAGGGGCCCTTTGATTCTGTCCACTGACTCACTTCAGTGTAAGTGAGGGGAAAGACTCTGTAATATTCTGCTCTGCAGCTAACAGAAGAAGCAGACGAGTTTGGATTTGATATCCCGCTTTATCACCACCCGAAGGAGTCTCAAAGCGGCTAACAATCTCCTTTCCCTTCCTCCCCCCACAACAAACACTCTGTGAGGTGAGTGAGGCTGAGAGACTTCAGAGAAGTGTGACTAGCCCAAGGTCACCCAGCAGCTGCATGTGGAGGAGCGGAGACGCGAACCCGGTTCACCAGATTACGAGACTACCGCTCTTAACCACTACACCACACTGGCTTAAAGTATATTCATATAAGAGAATGAGTGTCACTTTTTTTTAAGGTCAAGCAACTTGCACGAGCGATAAAGCAAAGACTGTTGGCTGACACAGCATGGGAAGCAACTTTTCTGCTTCGTATTAGAAGAATTTAAAAATAACCAACTTTAGAATCATAGAGCTTAAAGGGACCCCGAGGGTCATCTAGTCCAACCCCCTGCAATGCAGGAATTTCAAGACACAGTGCCCCATCCAACTTGAAACCCTACCCAGTGGCGTAGCGTGGGGGGTGGAGGGGGGGCCGGCCGCACCGGGCGCAACATCTGGGGGGGGCACGCTCGCCACCTCCGGAGTCGCCGAAGAGCCTCGGGCGCAGGCTGTAGCAGAGCCCCATGTCTCGCGGAACCGACGAGCTGGCAGCGGCTCTCAGCGCTCGCCGCAGTCCCCCGCGCGTCAGGGCCGCAGAGGGCGCGCCAGGCAGCCCCTCCTCACAGCCCCGCCGCCGCTGCTGCAGCAGCTGCTGGGCCATGTTGCATTTTCCTCGCCTCTCTGCCTCCTCCTCCTCCGGGCAAGCGGTGTCGTTTGGGCGGCAGCGCCAGCGGCAACTCGCCTCAGATCACCTGACACGGACCCGCCGCCGTTGCCGTGGCTACCTTACCGTAAATACCCCAGCCCAGGCAGCAGCAAGAAGAAGCTGGCAGCGGCGGCAGGTTAGGGGTTAGGGGGCGCAAATTACTTGCCTTGCCCCGGGTTAGGGGGCGCAAATTACTTGCCTTGCCCCGGGTGCTGACAACCCACGCTACGCTGCTGACCCTACCAGACCCTGCTTAGCTTTGCAGGTGTGCTAGCAGTTTTACTGCTGCCCTACTAGTCATAATATAATCACTACCACCAATCATTTTCGTAAGCACTATGCAATTAAGTAACTGTCCTTAAGTCCTTTTATATAAACTTCTCTTAAACAACCAGAATAGGAAGCCGCAGTTGAATGGGGCTGACTTTTTGGGTTTTTTTTAAACTAGTAAGTGCGGTAATAACACAACCTTCATTATGGCCCAGAGCAAGATAAGCAAGTTGTTTCCTTAACAAATTTCTTCACCTGTTGAGATCTAACCCCCACTGGAGCTTTTAAATATTGTTATAGATTTTGGGTGGGGATCCCCTAAACCCTACAAATTAATAAATGGTAGGATTTTGATTATTTGGAGCATTGAAGGGAAGATTAGAGGCCTGTGGGAAAACACAAGATAAGTTTCCTTTCTGAGCCAGGGATCTCCTGGGTTAGAGGCATTTACATGGCATAAGGCAGGGCTAGGCAACCTAAGGCCCAGGGGCCGGATACGGCCCAATCGCCTTCTCAATCTGGCCCATGGACGGTCTGGGAACCAGTGTGTTTTTACATGAGTAGAATGTGTCCCTTTATTTAAAATGCATCTCTGGGTTTTTTGTGGGGCCTGCCTGGTGTTTTTACATGAGTAGAATGCATAGCTATCAACTTACAGATTTGAAAATAAGGGACCAGCAGCCTCGAAAATAAGGGATCAGCAGCCAAAATAAGGGATTTTCTGAACACAGGTATGTTCCACTTCTGAGCCCCTCCGAGCCAAAGGCAGAAAGCCCAGCCAGCAGCCAAACGAAGCCTCAAGCTGTGGTTCCCACAGCGCAGCAACCCGGAAAGGGGATGCAGCAAGGGAAACCACCGTCACCTCTCTGCTGGGAAGCGCTGAGCAAAGGCGAGTCCCCAGGCAACACGGCCGATTTGATCGGCATGGAAGCTCCACCCCAGTCGTTCTTAGACTCCTTATTGGGTGAGCAACGCAGCCAAGCAACACAGTTGGAGCCTCCCTCCTCCCTGACCGGCAGGGAGGGAGGGAGAGGAGCTGTTTCCTTTGAAACCAGGGAAATTTAAAACACATCATCAATAAGGGACAGCAGCGGGACACGGCGCTGGGATAAGGGACTTTCCCGCCAAATAAGGGACGGTTCACAGCTACGGTAGAATGTGTGCTTTTATTTAACACGCATCTCTGGGTTATTTGTGGGCGATAGGAATTTGTTCATCCCCCCCCCCAATATAGTCCAGCACACCACATGGTCTGAGGGACGGTGGACCGGTTCACGGCTGAAAAAGGTTGCTGACCCCGGCATAATGTGTTGATGGCCCATCTAAGAGGAATCTTGGACCTGGGCAGACAGAGGTTGCCAAGGTGATGGGATGCGTGTGTGAAGTGACGGGAAAAGAGTATCCTTAGCAAGGCGTGCTGGGAAGAAGAGGGGAAAGAACAGAGACTGAGATCCATCTTGGGCAGGCTGGCTGAAGGCTAGCTGGGAGAGATGCATTGGACTCCAGTGCTGTACTGCTATGGGGAACAAGCCCCTCTTGAAATGACCATGCTGTAAGATCTGGACTCCCTCCATGCAGACTGAAGGTGAATAAATAATATTTCTTCGACAGCAGCACGGATTCTACTAGCTCAGAGATGGAAAGAACATAAAGTCCCTACCAGAGAAGAATGGCAAATTAAACTGTTGGACTATGCCAAAATGGCAAAATTGACTGGAAAGCTCAGGAACCAAGAAGACCAAAACTTTCACAAGGAACGGGGAAATTTTTATAATTTATCTTGGAGACCACTGTAAGCAGATGAAAACATTAGCAGGATTGCAATAACACTTGTAATG